CGGAACGGACGGACGACGACGACGACGACGAGACGACGCGCGGGCGGGTGGGTGTGGGTGGTGTGTGTGTGTGTTGTGAGGAGGAGGAGGACGCCGACGACGATGACCACCTGGTGCACCTGGAGGAGATCCTGGCCCGTGTGCACTCTGACTACTACGCCAAGTACGACCGCTTCCTCCGCGGGGAGGCCCGGGAGCCCCCCGACATCCGGAAGATTGTGCCCGAGCTCAGGAGCAGGGTGCTGGCTGATGTCACCATCATCTTCAGTGGGCTGCACCCCACAGACTTCCCGGTGGAGAAGACGCGGGAGCACTACCACGCCACGGCGCTCGGTGCGCGCATCCTCACCCAGCTGGTGCTGGACCCCGACGCCCCCGACAGGGCCACCCACCTGATCGCGGCGCGGGCCGGTGAGTCGGGCCTTCCCTGGTGGGAGTGGGGTCCTGGTGCAGCCTCTCCCTGGGGACAGCCCCAGCTCTGACTCGGCGGCTGTCCCCGCGTGTGGCCCCGTGCCGCGTGTGAAATGAGCAGGTTGTACCTGGGTCGGGGTGGAGCTGGGGCCCCAGCGCGTCTGCCCAGCCGCTGTGTGTGGTCACACGTGTCGAGGTTGAACAGGGGAGGCGCAGATTGGTCAGGACCCATGTGCACCCCGGTTGAATATAGGTGGTGAGTGAGGGTTACGGCGGAGCTTCCCTCAGGTGCTCAGGCACTGCTGGTCTCAGCCGAGCGGACGGCCCCTCAGTGATTGGCGCACCGTGAAGGCATGCTCACGCCCTTTTCCTTTAAAGAAAGTCAGAAGAACCTCATTACTTCCTTGAAGCAGTTTGGTGTTTTCCAAACAAAGCCTGCTGCAGGCCGGCCTCTCTGGTCATTGCCCCTCCCTCATCTGCAGCCGCTGAGTCAGGGCTTCTGAACACCTGCCCCCAACAGAGCATGATCTGCAAGGTCCTCTGTGAACTCGCGGGTGGGACAGGCCCTCCCCGATGGTGGAGGAGACCTTCCCAGGACATCAGGTGCTGTTGTGTGTCTGCCCCGCCTGCATCCAGAGTGGTCTGTTACTGTTCTGGGAGATGGTGGGAGACGGCGGGCTCCAGGGGTGGAGAAATGAGGGGTCCCAGCAGAGGGGGACTAGGGTTGTGACCTTAAACGGCCAGCGGAGGAGCTGAGACTCTGTGTAGCAAGGAGAGGGGCTTGCAGCGGCTTCCTGATTGGGGCAGTGGAGCAGGACTTGGGGACGTGGTACTGTGTTCTCGGGAAGAGAGCGAGCTGCAGGCTCTGCAGTGGACACTGAGAGAGGTGGTACCAGCGGAGGCTTGAGACCCTTCCTGAGCCATCATGAAACGGTGTCCCTGCAAACCTGGCCTACCGCCCTGCTGTGAGGTCACCCCTCCGGGACCCCAGCCTGCGCACCTTGCCCTGACGGCAGCACTGCACTGACGGGTGTTTGCTTGCAGGCACGGAGAAGGTGCGCCAGGCCCAGGAGTGTGGGCAGCTGCACGTGGTCAACCCCGACTGGCTGTGGAGCTGCCTGGAGCGGTGGGACAAGGTGGAGGAGCAGCTGTTCCCGCTGAGGGATGACCACGGCAGGGCACAGAGGTGAGCACCGGCCCCCAGCCTCCCTGCCCAGGACTCCCAGCACGGCATTGCCACAGCCAGCCAGGCCGGCCCCTGGCCCCCAGGGTGCGGATGGGGAAAGACAGGCTTGGGGTGGAGGTCTGCTGCTCCTTCCTCCAGAGGCCGCTCATCTGTCCCCTGCCACCCTCGCCGCAGGTGCTGCAGGCTCCAAGCAGGTCATCTTGAAAAGCACCTCTGAGCATTGCTTCCTGGGGAAGGAACAAAATTGCCTTTTCTGAGACACAGTGTGGCTTTTAGCAACAAAGCTTAGTTTGTGTGTCTTTCCTTTGTGGCTAGGATGTGGTTGTAACAAGTCACAAAGCCTTTGTGGGGTCCGACGTGGAGGGAGGTGGTGAGCGGGACTGGGGTGGGGCAGAAGACCGGTTGGCAGGTCGTGAGTCCCCAGGGGCAGCCGGGGGTGGGGGTGCACCGTGCAGGCCTGTTTCTATTGAGGCAACTTTGATAGGGCTCCTGTCTGGGCAGAGTCAATTCCGTGCTTGGAGGGGAAGCACCAGAGACAGCAGGGTGGCCCCCATGCCCACCTCTCGGGGGGCCCAGGCTTACTTAGGAAGAACCGTGTCCTCACGTGCAGACGTGGAGGGAGGAACCGCGGGCAGGAGGGCTCAGCTCCCAGCCTGAGCAGAGGTTGCTGGGTCCCACGTCAGTGCCAGCCCCTCCTCATGGCCCTCGTTCTCATCCTGCAGGGAGGACGGCCCGGCAGCCTTTCCCGACAGGCAGGGTGTGCTTCCCACCACCCTGTTCCACCCGACGCCCGTCCATCCCAAGGCCCTGCCCGGCCCCGAGGCTCGGGTGTATGACGCCAGCACGGGCAGGCTCATTCGGAAGGGCGCTGCGGGCCCCGGGCCCCCCGGCTCCCTGCCCGTCCACGCAGAGCTCTCCTCCTTCAGGTACGTGGGCTCAGCCAGCAGGTAGCGCGCTGGGGCGCTGGTGGTCCGCGCATGAGGGTCGGGCTGGGGCATGCTCCTCACGCATGTCCACATGGGGCCTTTCTCCACGTTCCCTGTCCTGCCTTGGGTCCCAGAACTGTGAAGTCGAGTCCGTGGTTTAGCCTTTGCTTGGTGTCGGGGTGCCAGCCCATGTCCTCCCAGCGGAGGCAGGCCTTGGGCGGCGGGATCTGACCCTCCTGCCTCGCCCTTGCAGGCCTGTCCCCCCTGCAGGACGGAGAGAACTGTCACGAGGGAGGAGGGTCCTGCTCGGGCCATCGGGAGCAGCTCTGCTCTGCGGCTCCCGCCCTCAGCAGGCCCAGCCTCCCTGTCCCACTTCCGACTCGGGTCAAACTGAGGGTCGTGGCGGCTGGGGCAGTTTGTGAGCAGGAGTGCAGGTGGGTGGGGATGGCACTGCCCTGAGAGGAGCATGGCCAGTGGTCTCCACCCACGTCTCCACAAGTGTCTGTTTCCTCCCTGTGTGTGGAGGACCTCTGCCGGGCTGAGGGCCTTACACAGCACTTGGTGAGGCACCTTAGGACACCCTGAGGTTCAAAGGAGGGTCCGAAGCTCTGTCTTGTCTTCCGTGAGTGGCCGTCGCTGTGAACTGTGTGTGATGGACACGTGTCATCTTGCTTCTGGGTCCCCTGCTCTCTGGAGCCCAGAGCCCTTCCCGAGAGCCAGCCCACGTGTGGCAGCCGGCTCCTTCTGCCTTGACTCCTCGGGCCTACGCTGACCTGCCTGCACTGACCGGCGGGGCCCCACCAGAGTGCTCTGTGGGTGGGCAGTGACTCCACACCCTCTGGCCACAGCGACGCTGCGGGGCCGCTGCGAACCAGGGCTGGTGTGTGCAGAGTGGACGTGGGCGTCTGCTGGCCCCGCTGCTGGGCTCCACACGTGAGCGGACAGACGCCCTGTTCGGCCTCTTAGGCCAGTTTGACTTGGGCTACTTGATTGGTGGTTTGTTCTGTTGTTTTCAAGCAAAGGCGTCGTCACTGATGAAGCCTCCATCTTCTCCCAGTGACGGTTAGTCATTTGAAGAGACACGTGGCGACGTCTGTGCTTCTGTTTACGTGCGAGTTCCTTCCCGAGAGCAGGGCTGCTGGGCTGAAGGGCACGTGTACCCTTGTCCTTAACAAACGGGGTCAGTTGTTTTCCAAAAACTCACTAGGGTCCGTGGCCCCACCCGGAGGACCCGGCCCCGCCCTCGCCCTCCGTCCAGTGCTGGCCCCTCACACCCGCCCGCCCGGTGGGGAGTGGAGGCAGACGTCCCCAGCGGTCGTCTCCAGCTGCCGGGGGGCCCCCCACGCACACCGGTCAGCCTTTTGGGTCTTACGTCGGGCGGCTGCTTACATCCCGGATGGACTCCCTTTGCCTTACTGGGGTCTGACGCCTTGTGGCTGTGTCGTCGGGGAAACGTTTGTTGTGGGTAGAAGTGTGTTCTGAAGATGACGCCACCCGCCGAGGTGCCGGGGGGACCTCCATGGCTCTCGCCGAGCCGCCGGGGCTGGGGTTCTCTCTGTAGTCCCGGTTACAGCTGCGGTTTTCACTGTCGGGTCTTCTCGAGGAGTTTCTCACTTTGCTCCTCCTGTCCTCCGCCTTCTTTTTAAACATGTTACGTTGATCTGGCATTATTTCAAGTCCGTGTTTTTTGAGTCATAGCTTACCTGAGGCCCCAGGACAGAGTAGACATTTGGGCGTTTTCTGTCACCGGCGCCGAGCGGGTGGCAGGCGGCTGAGGGAAGGCCCAGCCCAGGCCCGCGACGCCGCGCTCCTGCTGTGGGGACCTTGCCTTCAGGGCAGAAGCGTCCCAGTGCCTGAGGGAGCTCCCGCAGGAGATTCGGGTTTGGGCTTATAGCTCTGTATTTTACTGTCCCTGAGGACATCGGCACCCGAAACAGAGGCCTGTCGCCCCTTCCTCAGACTCCTCACGTGTGCAGACCTGTGGGTCAGGATGGTCCATTTGTCACCACGTAGTGTTCGTCTTCGTGCAGTCATTGCTCCACTGAAGCATTCTGAACGGGGCATCACCCTTGTTTCTGAGGCTCCTCCGTTTGAAAGTAAACCCAGTGGGTGTGCAGGACACACCTCCAAGGGGGACCCTCCCCAGGCAGGACTGTGGGTGCTGCCTGCAGGGGCCTTCAGGGACGTGGACCCAGGCCCCTGCGCTCACAGGTTCCAAGCGCGGGGGCCGTGGGTGCAGGCCCTGCTGGCTCACTGCTCCCAGGGTCACAACTCAGGAGCCTGCAGCCTCGAGGCTGTCGGGGACACAGGCCACGGTCAGTTAGCCTGCGGGACGGCAGGGAGAGCCTTACCGCCACCCGCACTGGAGTTGCCCTCCTGGTGGAGGAGGGTGTGAGCTCGCACTCAGGGAGGGGCCGGGGAACAGGTGGGGAGAGCCAGTCCCGCCACCACTTCTCACACCTTCCCCAGCAGGAAACAGTGATGGTCCAGTGCCGATGTTAATTCTCAGCCCGAGCCCGCTTGTGCGGTGACTGGCTCTCGCTGCAAGAGTTGCCCACAGACTGAGGGCACCAGGCCTGAGGTGGAAGGGCTCTGGTCCTGGTAAGAGGGCACTGCTCTGATGGGATTGGTCCTCCCACTGCAGATGGCCAGAAGTCTCACGAGCGGGCGCACCAGCCATGGGAGGGTATCGGCCAGCACCCTGCACGGCGGGGCTTCTCCTGCGCCTGAGAGGAGCGAGCCGGCAGAGCCCTTCCTGAGGGCGTGTCTCGTGTGTCCAGCGTGGATGAAGCCATGCCCATGGCGGTGCCCCCAGGGCTCTGAGGCAAGGTTGGGATTAGAGGCCATCGGAGCAGACCCCCGATGGGAGGGTGGAGGGGCCTTAGAGACGGTGTCACTGCGTTGATGTGCTGGGAGGACAGCAGGCCGGGTGGGAAGGTGGAGCCATCTCCGCAGAGAATTGCAACCCGTGACGACAGGCAGACAGGCGCCCAGACTGACAAGTGCAGGGCCTCAGGGTGACTGGAGAGACGGAAACCAGGCGCGTGAAAGGCGACGCGGGAGGAGGATACCTGGGGCGTGCACCCCGCACGGGGGTCAGCAGGGAAGGCCCCGGCCGCCACAACTCCCGGCCACGGGCTGGACGAGGGAGAAGCCAGGATGAGCACGGCGTGGTTCAGCTTTTTAAAGACCAGAGATGAGAAAAAGCCTGTTTTACGACCTGTCCTGTAATAGTGTGTGTGTTACACGTTAACGCTGGCGTTAATGGTGTGTTCGTGCCGTGATGTACCATTAAGTGGCACCACAATGTAAATTGTAACGTGTACAATTAAAGAATGGATTTTTATCTCTTAAGGTTTAATGTTTTTGTGTAGCAAGAAAGTTAAGAGCTGCTTTTGTAGTCGCCACCAGCTCATTTGGGTAGTAACATTCGTAGATCATGAGATGCTGTGAGTGAGGAAAGGGAGATGCTCGTCTTCGGGGCCTTGCATGCTCGGGAGGCACAGGCGGTGAGGGGTGCTGGTGGGGCCAGGTCTCCTGGGGGCGGACACATTAGCACAGCCCCTTCCAGACCTCCAGGCCTGTCTGGATGGCCGGGCCACCCGCAGTGTCAGAGCCGAGGGGCTGCCAGCACACGGGAGCTGGGCCAGGCACTGAGGAAGCTGGGCGTTCACACAGCGGTTGCACCGTCTCCAGATTTGGGGGCACCGTCAGCCTTCAAAGAGACAGCTGTCTGTTAAGCAGAAGAGAACGAGGCTCCTTTGGTGGTGTCCTGGGAGGAGCCCCTGACGCTCCCCTAGCAGGCACAGGGCTGCACTCTCCCCAGTTTGCTCCCTGCCACCTGTCTTGCCTGGAAACCCCCGACAGCGCCTGACAGCGCCCCGCCTCCGTGCACTCTGTACCTGCTCCTCCTGGTTTCCTGGGCTGGTGGGCGGGGGTGCTGGTAAGTTTCACTCGTAGGGGCGAGCAGTCCCCGAAACGCCTGGTGTTGGGTTTACCGCGGGGATCGGTGCTGGACTGAGACGCCGTGGTTCACCAAGGACGGGGATGCATGCCCTTGTGTCTGGAGCCCCAGCCCCACAAGCAGCCCTGCCCTTCGCAGTGGGGTGGCCTCCCGCCCTTGGCCTGTGGCTCGTGGAAGAGGGGGTGTCAATGGGCAAGGACAAGGCAGGCAGGTGCTGGCGGCTCCCTGAACAGCCACGGCTCCTTCAGGAAGTGCCCTGGGGTGCATCACAGGCTCCCAGGCTACGATCTTGTGGTGGCTGTCGTGATGGGACAGGGAGGCCAGGGACTGGGCTCCGAGAGTACCGTGTCCCCGTGCGGGCAGCCCTGGGGGCCTGTGGCGAGTCTGGGGTTTCCAACTCAGGTGGCAGTGGTGGCACAGACACAGAGATGAGCACGAGGAGGTGCTGTTGTGGCCTTCATCTTCCGTCTGTGTGAGTCTTGATTTGACCTGAACACTTCTGGCCTCTGGGGAGTTGACAACCTCCCTGGGCCGCCTGGCGATGGTCATTGCCCAGATTAGCTCAGATGACCCCCCCAGGAGTAAAACGACACCGTGGTTCACGACACTGGAAATGAGGGACGGCGGAGCACGGGGCTGTCCCCCTTCCGAGCGCTGTGTTCACCAGGGTCCTCCCGGCAGCGTGGTTCAGGCTTCCACTGCAGGGACAGCCTACAGATGCTGTACTTTGAATTAGAAGGATGCAGGAGATGCCAGGAAGGATCTGTGTGTTAAAATGACACAGAAATGACAGTTCTTAAATTGCAGTTTTACAATAGCGTTTGCGTAGCTTAAAGCAGCCCCAGGTCAGTCCTGTGCTGACGTTTACCCGAGTGAGTCCTGGCTTTAGATCTGCTTCACGCTGAAAATAAAGTGACAAACATTTGGCTCGTTTCTCTTAAATGTGAAGAACAAAGGCATATTAAACTGTTTGGCATATTTAAAAATTATGTACAGCAGTGGGTTTTCAACTGCTCAGCCTCGCTGGGAGTCAGTGGCGGCAGGCGAGGAGCTTCTGAGACAGGAGGGAGCAGTTAAGTGCTGTCTGGAAACAACCGCGCAGACGTGAGGGGCTTCCTCCCACTTGTGTGACGGTGCTGTCGATGAGGCGCGGAGGGCCCGGACTTGTCCCGAAATGTGTGTGATTTACATGAACAGTCGCAGTTCAGTCCCACGTGGTGCAGAAAAGAGAGGCTTCAGCTCTGCCTGTCTTTCCTGAGGAAAACACACGCGTTGGGCTGGGGTTTATTCTAATGAGTTGACTTTCGGTGAAATTTTCTCTTTTTTTAACTTGAAAGTGTGATCCCCACCAAAGCACTGATTTTTGTTAGTTCTCGTCCAACCACTTAGGTACACAGAGGGACAGTAACATGGTTCACTGTCCGGTTATTCCGTGAACTCTGTGAAGGGGGCAGCGTTGCTCCAGCCGCACCAGCACGCTGCCCCGATGGAGACCATCTCCTCGGAGGAGGCCGGAGACGTCTTCTAGATAGCCTTCGTCTCGCGAGTTACGCTCCATCCTCGCCCCACTCACGTGTGCAGGAGACCGTACGTTCTCCTAAGACTGGCAGGCGGTCGACGGCTTGTGGGTGGTTCTGCTTCCGAAGCTGGTGAAGTGGCCCATCTCCGCAGGAGAGCAGCAGCGCTCCGAGCAGACCGAGAGCCTCCCGTTTATCTGATGGCGTGCTGTGCCCGACACGTCTGTGCCTGGTCCGTCTGCCTCTGTTTGCGCAGTCAGCCCTTGGCTCTGCTGCTCCTGCCTCTGGAAGCTGACCCACACCCGTGTGCCCAGGGCGGGGGGCCCCCTCCCTTCGCCTCCCAGGCTTGTGACTCAGCAGTGTTCTAAGCCTGGAGCCCGCGTGGGCCTTATTGTGACAGGTGCCAGGCTTCCGGGCAGCTGCGGCTCTTCCACGGGCTCTCCCGGGCGAAGGCTCTGAGGATGCTCAGTTTCTGTGATTTTTGCTTTGATGCTTTGGTTGCGGGCTAGTCTACTGGCACCTTGGGGGGTTGGGAGCAGAGGTCCTTGTGGTGTGGTCTCCCTGGCTGTGGTCAGCAGGCGTGAACGTGCTCTCGCACAAGCTTCCTCTGTGTGGAGCGCTTAGGGAGAGCGTTGGACACGGGAGCAGTTGGCAGGTGCAGTTTGGAGCCACCCCGAGCCAGAACCAGGGCCGGGGCCGTCCGTGGGATGTGCGAGGCTCCGAGGGGTGGTCACTGGGCCTAAGCCTTGGGCCTCCCGCAGGGGTGTCTGCAGGTGGAGGTGACAGGTGCCTGTGCGGGGGAGTGGAGCGGCGTCCCACAAGGAGACGCAGGGCTGGGAAGGAGTCTGGGTTCACAGAGTTGGAAATCAAACATACTTCCCTGCTCGGACAACGTCTGAAATTCTAGACCCCTTGTAATTTATCTGTCATCAGCTGTGTTGTGTAAGTTGTGAACATTTTGTTTTCTTGAAGGTTTTATTTTGAGGTAATTGTAGATTCACAGACAGTTACGGGAAATAACACAGACCTTGAGTGTGCTTGTAATCGCCTGTTGAAGCATTTTTTTATCATGGATACTTAAGAATCTTCATCAGGTAATTCCGTCATTTCTGTCACCTCAGAGTTGACATCTCCTGGTTGCCCTTCTCGTTCAGTTTGCGATCTCCCTGCTTCTCAGAGATTTTTGGTTGAACCCTGAACAGTCTCCCGTCTCGTCGTGACAGTCAGGACCTCCTGTGATGCTCTGTGTGGCTGCGTTCACTGCTCTGCTTCAGCAGCAGAAGTAGGGGCACAGCTCACCTCGACTCTGCTGGGGGGGGGTCGAGGTCCCTTGCAGGCGCTGCTGACCCCTGTGGGGCCATCGTCACTGCTGGGCGGCTGTCGGGGTCCCAGCCTCCCGCGGTCACCACGGGCACGTGGGGGGATGTGTCCGTGAGTGTCTGACTCTGGTGCCCCCTGGTTACTGCAGGGGGTGGGCTCCACTGGCTGCAGCGGGTCATGGACTGGAGTATGAAGTGTGGAGCCAGGACGTGGGGCCAGGCGGGCACAGACTTGGCACCAGGTCAAGAGCGGGACCTCTGTTCACCGTCTCCCCATACTTGCCCTTTGCTCTGAGATGAGGGCGGCCGGGCTGTGAGCCTCAGTGTGTTGGCAGGAGAAGGTAGATGCTCGCTTTCGCTGGAGGAGGCGTGAGCCTGGGCTGCCCGTGGTCGGGCTGGACCCGCCAAGGTTGCAGTTCGTAAGCAAACTGATGCAGCCCGGGCAGGCACTGCCGACAAGACAGCGTGTCTTCACGGCTGAAACGGTCTGTGCATGTTTGCACACCTGTTCCCAGGGTCAGGCGTCTGCGTCGGGGCTGGAAGTGAGCTCAGACCGATTCCTCACGTGGGGCCTGTGAAATTCGTTTCAGGGCTGTTCAGCCACATCCACCGCCGATGTTTGGTGAGGACGTGCCAGACCATCAGGATGGGGAGCCGCCCGGCCCCCCGCGCAGGAAGCGCCAGCCCAGCCTGTCGGAGACAATGCCACTGTACACGCTGTGCCGGGAGGACCTGGAGAGCATGGACAGAGAGGTGAGGCCGGCCCGTCCCCTCCCCAGGGCACATGTGAGGAGGTGGACGGCAGCACCGGGGGGCCGTCAGCATGCAGTCTGAGTCCACTTCCAAAGTCGGGTTTGTGATTCCAACCGTGGGGCCTGACTGTGCGCGCCCCCCCCCGCCCCCCCCCGGCCCACTTGGCAGCGTGTGGGTCATCGTTCCAATGAGGGCTCCTGATGTGCAGTGGGTGGGGCCGGGGTGCCAGGCGGCCCCCACAGTATCAGCAGCGCTGAGGGTGAGAGACCCCAGTTACTGCCGTCTCGGGTGCACACGGACTGCTGAAACACACTCAGAAGACTGGTACTTTGTTGTTACACCACTAAGAAGGTTTGGGCAATGGAATCCCCTCCGAACTGAAGGTTAAATGCAGAGGGGATTCTCCTTGGGAGCAAAACACGCCTGAACTGGGGGTGATTCTGCAACCAGTTGCCCGTGTCTTGCCCACGCGAGCAGCCTCGGGCCCTCACGTCGGCCTGCCCTGGACCCCCCCAGCCCCCCGGCCCCCAGGCTGTCACAGCCAGGCCCCTCCAGAGAAGGGCCAGGCCCTGTGGGTGCTTGTGCTCATTACTCCTGGCCTGAACGTTCCTCGCAAGGACCGATGTGTAAACATAGCCCTCAAGAGTCCCCAGCCAGGCCCTGGTCAGGACGGACGCTGCCCAACGCCCCTCAGACTCTCACCTCCGAGGCGTGTGAGGAGCCGTAGCCGCTGCCCGCTGTGCCGCGTGGGTGGGCGTTGTCCTCGGGACCTCTGGGGACCACTGGGGCGGCAGGCACATTCCGTTCACATTCAGTGATCTGTCCCAGTGGTCAGCCTCATGGCTTCTCCTGGGAGGCGCCTGCCCTCAGAAAGCCTTAGGGAGCCTCCAAAGCAGGGCTCTGGCCTTAGCAGCCGGGAGACCGCAGGCCTGGCGGACAGAGTTCTCAGCGCGTGCTGGCCGTGAGCCCTGCCCGTGAGATGGGGATGCTTCCGCCTGCGTCATCGAATCCCACGAGGGGTCTGCGCTCACTAGGCTGTAGAGAGGGCGAGAGAGCGAATAAGACCCCTCATACAGTAGGGAATGTGTCAGCGTCGAGCGCTCCCTCCCCAGGCAGGTCCCAGAGCGAGTCCCGATCTCAGAGGCGGGGGCTCGATTCTGCCGGCTCGGTCTCCCCTGAGAGTAGGAGGCAGGAGCGGTGAGGCTCACTGGTCAGTGTTGAGGTAAGTTTTAGGAGAAAACCCCAGAAGGCTCCTTGAACTGAGATAGGCCCTGGCAGAAAACTGCCGTGCATCTGCCAGAGTCAAGGTCAGTTTTCTAAGCAGAGGTTCCTGCTCTTTAGAGATCGCTGAGGACAGAGCCTTCTCAGGTCCCTTCTGGTCTCTGTAGAGCCATCTGTACACTGGAGACCTAACTGGTGGGCCTACTTTTTGTGCTTTTTCTCGATTTATCAGCAGATTATTTTCCCGTTGAATGACATTGTTCCTTCAGTGGGCTTTCTGCTGAAAACATGTTGCAAACACAGTTACGTTCTGGGAATCACAAGATCTGCTTCAGGTCACCTGGCGTCGTTCTGTACGACTGTTAGGTGGGCGTGCTTTCCTCTGTTCCATGAGTGGAGGGTCCTGCGAGGTGTGATGGAGTCAAATACGAGGTCCCCCCCCAACGCCCTGTCCCGGGAGCCCCGTGCCCACCCCACACCTCATCCCTGGGGCCCCACGGCCCCCGTGCAGTGACTCTGAGCCCGTTGCAGTTGTATTTCAATCCACCAGAGGGGGCTCTCGCTGCAGGCTGTGACCAGCAAACAGGTGCTTGGTTCTTGGGTGAGCCTGCCTGCTCTGAACGTTTGAGACCTCATCTTGGGGCCCCACAGCCAGGGCATCTGGAAGCGCAGACCCCTCTCCAAGCCCCGCAGCCCCCGAGCCATCCCCGCTCCCTTCACGTCCAGCCCCTCTTTGTTCTGCGGCCAGAGTCTCGGCTCCTCTCAGGGGAAAGCACAGAAGGTCACGAGGTGGCGTAGCGTGGCTTCCCGTGGACTGTTGGTTAAGTGCGTGCTGTCCTTGGATGCACCAGGCACAGGCTGGCATCTTAGGTCAGTGTCTCTGCAAACCCAAGGTCTAAGACAGAATCTCCTCCTTGCTTCTGTAAAAGAATTACAAACGTAACGTGCATCTAGCGTGATCATCTTAGCTCTTTGTCCTGTCGATGCCAGACAGTTATCCTTGTGTATCTTGGTTCACGTGAAGGAGCTTTGTGCTGAGTGGAGGCTCGTGTGCCACATGGGCCATGGTGCGAACATCAGTGAGGGAGCCGGCCCAGCCTGTGCACACCACCCCTTGCGTGCTTCCGCACGTGTGTGGGCCTGCGTGTACCTCCCCGCGTGTACGTGCCCGCGTGTACCTCCCCGCGTGTGCCTCCTCGCATGTGCTTCCCCAAGTGCCTCCCCACCGAGGGTGCAGGCCCGCCTTGGCCTCTCCCCCGAGGGTGCAGCCTGCTGGCGGTTTCCTCTCACTTCCATGGCAGCTCCTGTCAAGGAGGAGGACGTAGACTTAGTTTCGTGGCGTTTCGTGGGTGCTTTGTCTTCACTGACTGTGAAGGTAGCTTTGGACCAGTGAGCACTACCTGTCCGCAGAGCGAGTTTGTGTGTGGACATGAGTACGTTTCACTAGAGAAACTGAGGCCTTAGACACGGGTTTGCTGTCTGGTGGCTTAAGGCTTCAGTACGAATTAACCAAAGTGTCCAAAAGCCGTCCTGTGGCCCCGCAAGGCCGCCGCCGCACGCGCGCCGTCAGTCCCGTGAGCGGTCGCTGGTTTCCTCTGAGACATCTCGCCACCGCGCGGTGGGGCCGGTGCCCCAGGGGAGCCTCAGTGAGCGTTTCCGGAGCTTCACCCCAGGCGCCCCTGCCATCCCCTACGGCTCCGTGTCTCCCCAGGAGGGGCTCTGAGGGGGTGCCACCTGGTTGGCCTGGCTCTCCAGCTGATGGGAGCCTCCCCGCCTCAGCCTCGGTTTAGACGAACGCCCTGCTCATTCACCGTGGGCCCTGAAGTGTGCTGGAGGCAGAGCCCCATCAGGGTCAGGCTCTGCGTGGCCTGCACCCGGGTCTCCCTCAGGGACCCAGGGCCCAGTGAGGTGGGCACAGAGGAGAGGACGGCCTGGGCCATCGTCCGTCCACGCGCCCCATTGACGGTCCTTGGCGCTGTTTGCGAGCACCTGACTGCGGCCCCGTTTCGGAGTTCTGGGAGGCGGTTGGGGCCGTGCTGCTGCTGTGGGTTCATCCCTGGGCGAGGGACATCTCTGGGCTCTCGGGGACGTCAGTCTCAGAGTGTGCTGCCCTCGGCCCTTCGTCAGGTGGATGACATCCTAGGAGAAGGCAGTGATGACAGCGACAGTGAGAGGAGGCGGCCGGAAGAGCAGGAGGAGGAGGAGCGGGGACGGAGGCCCCGTGAGCCTGAGGCCCCGGGGGCCCAGCGGGGACGCGCGCTCAAGTCCACTCCATCCAGCGAGGGGAGTGCAGCGGATGGCCGGGGGCCCAGGTGAGCGCGGGCAGGTGAGGGGCCGTCGGGTTGGGGGCAGCACCAGGAGAGGGGGCCTCACCGCGAGCCGAGTGCCTCACATGCTTCTCCCACAGGGGCCACAAGCGGAAGCTGAGCGAGGGGGATGCTGCCAGCGGGTCCAGCTGCGAGGACGAGGAGGACGAGGACGAGGAGGGGGGCAGCTCGGAGGCAGACGAGATGGCGGCTGCGCTGGAGGCCGAGCTGGGCGACCTCATGTGACCGCCGGGCGGGGCTGGCACACGGCCACCTCCGTCTGCACAGGCCGCCCCCGGTGGGGTTGCCTTTTCTCCAGAGGGACGTGTCTGTTTAGCACAGCTCAACATACAGAAACACGTTATTTTGAAGAAAATAGGTGTTTTTAGAAATTTTACTACAGGAAAGCCGACTTTTTTAAGTGACAGCGTGTGACGGGGAGCGTGGTTCATGCCAAAGATGCTGGTCAGCTCAGCGGAGCCGCCTGGCGAGCTGGAGCTTGTGGTCTGCTGTCAGGCAATGAGGGGCTTGGGGGGGGGCTCCCTAAATACCGCACTTCATTTAGGGAGGAGACTGGGGATCCGACACCACGTGGGGGACGATGTCATGAGAACCCACATTTTCATGCTTTTTCACAACTATAGCCACCAAACAAACGTGTTGGATGTTAACTGAGGCAGAACAGTCACGTGCGTCAAAACCTGACATCGGGTGGACAGGCCTAGGGGGCCCAAGGGAGCAGCACCGAGGCAGCCGGGCCCCTGGAGCTCTGCAGCGACCCGGGTTCCAGCACGGGGTCCACTCCACACACCCAGACCTCCCCCTTCCTCCGCAGGTGTCTGGAGTCTGGACAGAGGGCTGCCCTCAGTAGCAGCCTGGCTCCCCTGCGAGATCGGATGTAAAGTTTTGTATATCGATTTCGTATTTGACACACAGATTTTTTCTTTCATTTAATAAAAGTCCTTTTTGTAAGCCTTCTCCTCTGCCCCACTCCCTCTGTGCAGGATCCAGCTCACGCACCGCGTGGGTGAGCCACCCCGCACCGCCACCCTGTCAGGGAGCTCGCGGGGCAGAAGGTGTCTCAGAAGATTCCTGGCTGAGTTACCGGGGCCTTGGAAGGTTAAACAAAAACAGGTGCTCTCTGAAGCCATTCCGTGGCTGTTTTCCTGTTACTGGGAGGAGCTTTTCAAAGGTGTCATTTCTGATTACTAGATCTATGGAAATCAGATCTAAGGCGCCTAAGGAAACTGAGGCAGCTTTGCTGGTAGGTCCTCACCCCTGACAAGGTAGAGAGTGAGACTTTGTACACGACGTGGCACCAGACGGCCTGGGCTGGGGTTGCCCTGGGACCTCGGCTCTGGCCTCAGGCCGCGCGCGGCCCCCGGGGTGGGCAGCGGGCGAATTGGCCTTTGTGCCCCTTTGAGGCAGCCACTCGGAGCCCTGCCTGTGTGCTCCCTGCTGGGTGGCGGGCTGCAGGTGGAAGAACCCGGAGCCCAGCCTGTGTCTGTGACCTGTGGTGGTCACATGGAGAAGGAGCCTGGGGCTATAGTGTCGGCTAAGCTGCCTGAGGCGTTGATTAGAGACTTCAGTGCTGACTCGCTGAGACGTCGCGGGTGAGCTGCTTCAACTCGACACCAACACAGCGGACATTTTTCTTTCCGTTTTCTGGGCTAATCACTGAATTAAAAGTGAGCATTAGGCTAAGGCTGTGTGCTCTTAATACTTTCTCTGTTGCAAGTAACAAGAGTCACAGCTCCAGTGAGCTTATCTTCCTGTGCTGGCACTTGTCTGAGAAGTTACGGAGCAGCTTCAGGTTCGGCTGGATCCAGGTGTTAGATGCTTAGGTGTCACTGGAAACCTGAATCCTCCTCCCAGGGTTTGGCCTCCCTCTGCTGGCGGCACTCAGGGCAGACCTTCTGCACAGTGTCATCCACTCTCCCAGCGGTGGGGTGGGGGCAGTACCACAGTGCACATGGGGATGTGTGTGGGTAGGCAGCCGTCAGGAGTCCAGGCACAGCCCTTGCCTCGTCTCCCCACCAAGGTGGATGTGAATGCACGCACTCAGCACCCTCCACGACGGCAGCAATGCGGCCCTCCAAGACTTCCAGTCAAAACCGTTCCCATGGAACAGAAACAGGGACCCCCCTGGTAGGTGGTCTGTTAGGCTAGAAATGGAGATGGCAGGATTGTGACGCTGAGTAACCTCAGTGCAAACACAGCAGCCTCCTAGGTGGGTACTTCTAGAAAGGGTCAGCACTGGCGGCGTCTTGCAGCCTTGTTGCCAGTGGACGCTGAGCCAGCAGGGACCACCGCTGTCCTGGGGGAGCCGGGGTCTTCACTTCCAAAGCAGAAGGGCAAGGCTCCCGGGAGAGGGCGGCAGGGCGACATCTCCCCCTTGTGCCTTAGTTGATGAACACCTTTCAGGTGTGTCCAGCGCTGGAGCAAACCACACAGTTACTTAAAACTTGGCTCAGCCGAGGCTGGGGCCAGCAGGGCTGGGTGTCGGGCTGCTAGTCCCTGGGGCCCCTCGTGCCTCCTGTGGAGCTGCCACCAGCGTGGCCAGCTCGCCTCTCAGGTAAGGGCTGCCCGGGGCCAGCAGCCCTGATGGTCATGCAGAGAGAAACGCGCTGAGGTCGGGGGAAATGCTGAATTCAGTGCCACTCTCCCAAATGACGTCTTTTTTAGAATTTTAATAGGAAACTTGGAACTTGCTTCCTTGAACGTAACTTAAATGTCAGACCCTATGCTTAAAATGACTGTTAGGAAATTCATGACCAAGAATTGAGAGAGAGAAATCTTGTTGGCACAAGTAGATAATAAATCTTAGGCCATTTATTTACCAACATTCAAAAATCTGTAACACTGGAGATTCGGTGAAAGTTTCCTTTCCTCCTTGAGAAAGGGGAGGTTGAAATTTTGTGTAAACGTGAGTGGACTCCTGCCCCATCTGAGTTTTTCACATTACGTTTTTAAAACAACCGTGAAGCTGTAACATGCAGGTGCCAACATGGATGGACGGCTAGGTCCAACCTGGTCCACAGGCCCACTCCTCACGGGAACCTGGACTCAGGGCCGGGCTGCCAAGGCATCTGGGCGGGGGCCCCCGTGCTCCCCGTGAGGACCCTGGAGAGGGTGGAGGACGGCTACGCTCAGAGTGACCGGCCACCCACTTGTATGCCTGGAGGGGCGCTTCATGCTGCGTTGTGTCCATGGAGCTGTTACTGTCAAGATCAGAGTCAATCCAGCCCACGCACAGTCTGCTGTGTGTGCACCGTGTGTGTGTGCGCGCGTACACTCATGTTCAGAGGTGCAGCCTGGTTTCAAGTACACTCGTCACACACAGAGGTGACAGTCACAGCCAGCATTTACTGTACTTTCCAGTGGTCACGTGCCTGGCTTTTTAAAATGAGTCTAATTGTGAACTTTTTAACATAAACCATCGGGGACGAAGGAAAAAATGCTCTGACCCTGCCACCAAGTCTAACCACGGTAACATTTCAGTGTGTTGTTTCAGTTTCTTAGGCATATTGTTTAAAAAATTTTATTTTTGGAACAGCTTAAGTTTAGAGCGAAATTGAGGGGAAGGTACAGAGACTCCCGCACAGCCCTGCCCCCTCCACGCACAGCCCCTGTTACCTGCCTCCCCCAGATGGCACCTTTGTTACGACTGATGGACTTATGGTGACACAGGATCATCACCCCAAACCCACAGCTCAGAGTGAAACTCACTCTTGGAGTCGAACGTTCTTTGCGTTTGGACACATCCAGCGTCACCGTGTCACGCAGAGGATTTTTACTGCCTGAAATCCTCTCTGCGCCATTCATCTTCCCCGGCCCCACCGACTGTCCACTGTGTCCACGGTTTTATCTTTTCCAGAACATCATGTAGTTGGAATCGCACATCATGCAGCCCTTTCAGAGGGGCTTCGTCAGTATCCAATATGCAGAAGGGGGCTGCTGGGGACTCCAGAGGTGTCTTCAAAGGGTGCTTTGCAAGAAAAGCAGAAGAGAGAGGAGAGCCTTTTGGCTAAGACAGAGGCGTGTCATTCCAGTCCTAACGCGGGCTCGTCTGGGTCCTAATTCACACAAACTGAAGGTAGGCAGACGTGAAAGCACACGGCATGACACGGTCAGAATTTTAAACATTGAACAGACGTATGATAGTAACGAATATTCTTTTCTTTTAGGTGAGGTGTAGCGTTTCTAAAAGCTCCTTTTTTAGGAACAGTACTGAAATGTTTATGGATGAAATGACGTGGTGTCTGGGGTTTGCATCAGAACATCCCCAGGCACAGCGGGGAGGGCGGGGGCCCAGAGGGACCACAGTCGGCTGGTCTTCCCTGGAAAGCCGCAGTTCTGCCCAATTTGTGTGCATTTGGAATCTTCCGTAGGAAGAAGCGGGAGCACGTGAGTAAAGGGGCTCAGTCCGAGCTGAAAGGAGCACAGGATGAGGCCGGTGCTCTGAAGTAACAGGATGCTTCTGTCAGTTCCCGCACCCCAGGCTTTGGGCACCACGTCCAGCTGTCTTTCTGAAAGGTATTGGGGGTCTTTTGTAGCAGATACGGGAATAGCACCAGTTTCAGGTGGTCATTTGGAAAAAAAGCTCTACGCACACTTGTCTGAGAGCCACTTCCCCGGCGCTGGGACCAGAGTGCTGAGACGCGGCTGCCCCTCTCTGTGGGACCCACCCCAGTGCGGCCCCACCTAGGGAGACCTGTCCTGGGCATTCTAGCCGCGACGCAGCAGTCCTGAGACGTTGCTCCCGTTTCCAGTGCAGCAGTGAGACTGGAGGAGAGCTAGGCTCCGGCAGAGGGACGTGGGCAGCAGCAGGGCTGTCATGGTCCTAAACCTCCCACTGGCGGGGGGGTCCACGTACCTTACGTTCACTCCATGCAGCGAGTGACCAGGCCGGCCACTGACCAGGGGGAAGGTCCCCTCCCCCACAGGGAGGCGCCTCGGTCACAGGAAAACGGGCAGGAACCCTCCACCGGGACGGCAGAAACATCGGGAGTAACCACGCAGCGTGATGATGCTTTGTCTGGATTTTTGCTGGTTGCATTTGAAGTGCAGACAGGAAGCTGAGTGCCTAAGGTGGAACCTGCCAGCAGACCTATGGAAACAAGAATGTACGTTTCTCGAGACTTCTCAGTGCCACGCACCTTCCCCAATACTCAGACAGACCGTCTCCACTCTGGTTGCACTGAGGTTCTGTGAGGTGAGTGGGCTGGCTGCAGCCCAGCGGGACAGAGCAGGGCCCCAGGTCCCCCGCGGGGATGAGTCGGGCTGGCGCACAGGAAGGAGCCAGAGCAGGAGAGCCAGCCCACACGGAGGACCCTGGGCGGGCCGGACCGTGGGAGCGGTGAGGAGACAGACCCTCAGGAGGTGTGGGGAAGCCAGGGCAGCGCCATCCTTCCAGCCCAGGTGCTCTGCCCACTGCCCGGCATGTCCGCAGCCCTTTGGTCCTGAGGTTTCTCTCCGGCACCAGCTCGTCTCCTCTGAGCCTAGCCATCCTGGGCACCAGCCGCCAGCTGGCCCTGGCTCCCCCCATAGGACCACGGGACACCTCCCGCAGACAAGAGCTAAGGACACCAGGGGCCACATGCGTGAAAGGAAGGCCATGAGGGCCAATGCTGGGGAATCCTGGGTTCCCACCACCGAGCGGCACAGGCCTGGCCTGCTTGGTGACAACGTGCTGTCTTCAGTAGCCCCTGACTGCTGCCAAAATTCTGGTCCCCAAGGTTGTTGTCTTCAAATGCAAGTCTCTACCCTGTTTGGATGACGTGTGCGGGATGTTTCTGCTGGCATCTGGCAGCACGCCGCCTTCACTCACCACGTTGTGGTCCCCACCTCAGAGCAAACCGGAGGAGTCAGTGTGGAAACACATAAAGCAAAGCAAAACGTGGCCGTCCTCACGACAAGAGAAACACAAAGCAATCTCTGTGGTGGAGACCCAGCGGCTTCTTTCTAGTCTGTTCCC